AAATTCTGTAAATGTGTATAGAATGGCACGGGGCCGCCTGCCCACAAGGCCTTGCCTATCGGGGCACCGCCGCTCAGCACTTGCTGTAGATGGCTGCGCTGCCCCGCTCCCGAAACTCTTCCTTGCTGACCCAGAGCTGCTGGAAGGCCTGTAGGGAGGCCAGGATGGAGCCGCCGGTCCACACGGAGGTCTTCCTCTCGGGAGCAGCAGCCACTGAAAGGCTGTCCCCAGGACAGAGGAGGCTCAGCTCCCTCTGGAAGCGCTGGGGGAAGCCCTCCAGCATGGTACAACCACCACACAGCAGCACATTGGCCGCCATCTCCTCCTTGAAGCCCGCCTCCTGGCAGCGGCCCAGGCAGGCAGCCGTGACCGCATGAAGGCCGGGATCGCTGCTGCCCACCAAGGTGGGTTTGAAGAGCATCTCGGCACACTGGAAGCGCTCGTGACCGATGGTGATGAGCTTGCCATCAGGGAGCTCGTAGACCACATGCAGCTCCTCCAGACCCAGGCGGAGCTCCTCCTCGGGCACGAGTGCCGAGTAGCAGCACTCCTTCTTGATGTGCTCGATGATGTGCAGGTGGTCGTCCGTGAACTGGTGGCCGGCCCCGTTGAGCAGCTGCAGCAGGTAGTTGGTGAGGTCGCTCCCGGCATAGTCGGTGCGGCTCGTCAGGCCCGGCAGCACGTTGCCCTCTGAGATAGGCACCACATGCGAGACACCATGCCCACTCTCCACCACCAGCCCTGAGGTCTTGCCATAGGAATAGATGGACAGCAGCGACTGGGACGTCACATGCATGGCAGGGATGCCAAAGGTTTCAAACATGAGCTCGGCGTATTTCTCCCGATTGCTGATGGGGCTGAGCGGGGCGTCGGAGAGCAGCACAGCATGATCCTCAGGGAGGATCTTCATGGCTGTGTGGAATACGTACTCCAAGATGTTCTGGACACAGTCCCAATCCACCACGACACCATATTTTAGCGGGTTAACCAGCTTCAGAGGCGCCTCCATGTTGAGCAGCTCGTGGCCCACATAGGTCTCCTTGCGGTTGTCGCCAGCATCAGCGGCCTCGGAGTAGTGCTTGCCCACAGTAGAGGAGATGAAGTAGGTGGGCCTTGGCTCCCCTGCATAGCCACACTTACAGTACTGGGAACCCAGGTCTAAGATGAGTGCCTTGATCTTACGCACCTTCTTGGGCTTCATCTTCAGCTGAGTGGCTGAACCTGTGTCCAGAATGCCAACGTCAGGACTTGGCAGTGTTCCCATCTCTCCAGGGTCACCCTGAGCCGTGCCCATGGGCATGGGGCTAGAGCAGTTTCTCGTTGCCATCTACCTTCCTTGCTCACCTTTCTCACATCCACATCCTAGAGCTCCATGGGGAGAAATAAGAGGGTCCACCTCCAGCAGTGCCTTGGCAACCCCCCCAGGATTGTGATGTCACTTGGGGCTGGTCCATTCTGGCAGCCTGGGGGAGGGCTTGGCCTTGGCAGGCACTTGATCTGTCACGCGTACCCGACTTGTCACCCCCACCCCATCCACCTAACTCGACTTTGCTCCAGGACAGAGCAGGTGGCTAGCACAGCTTTAGAAATGCAAGCATACTGGGGTTCAGAGGTTTCAGCTCCCTCCCCTTACATCCATGCTCCTCATCCCGTTTACCTTTTACCCCTCTGCTTCTTGGCCAAGAGGGTGATAAATATTTGAGTCTCTACAGTAAGCCAGGCACCTCATATACGTTATTTCAAAGAATCCTGAGAGGTAGGCAGAACAGGAAATCAAGGCTCAGAATTCAAATGACTTGCCCATGAGCAAACAGTTCTTGGAGTGTTTGTACTCTAATCCATGTTCATCCAACTCCAATGTACCAGGTCTCCTTAAAGAGCGTGAGGGCCCCAACAGTACTTTCATCCCTTTATTCAACATTTACTGGGGTTTGCAGTGAGTCCAGCCCACTGCAGCCTGCCAGTGATAGATGACAGAAACCCCAGCCATAAGCACTGCCAAGCTAGGTGGGAAGAAGATAGAATGGATGCAAAGGAGTTTGCAGGTGGAAGTCTATTTGAAAAACAAAGATGCATAAAGGAGGAAGAGCTTTTTGGAGGGAGGGCGTCAGAAGGTTCTCTAGAAAGGAGGTGAAGCTTAAGTCGAGTATTGAAAGATATGTGGGTATGTGTCAAGTAGCTAAGATGAGGGAAAGGCATCCCAAGCAGAGCGCACAGCCTGAGCAAAGGTTCAGAGCGGGCATGGTGGGCAATTTCCACGGTAGTTACGGTGTTTGGAAAAACAGACGAGGCTAGAGGGAGCCAACTAGGGAGGGCCTCAAATGCTAGGGGTAAGAGCTTGGGTTGAGGACACCTGGGGAAACAATTTTTAAGCAGGAGAATGCTCAGATTTGCCTTGTAGGAAAATTTGCATTTGGCAATAATGTAGAGGGGCAAGACCACAATCTGAGGCCTGAAAGGAGGCCATTGAAGGAGTCCTTGTGAGACTTGAAGGTGGCCTGAGGCTGGACTGTGACAGTGTGGAAAAGCGCAAAGACCAGGTTCTAGAGAAGGTAGAAGGTAGAATCTAATCTAATTGGTTGGTTCTCCAACTATCCTCAATTCAATCCAGGCTCTTAGTCTAGCATTTGAGGCCCTCTCTCCTTGGTTCCTGTGACCTCTCTAGCCTCAAGCACTGTGTTTCTATTAGATGAGTAGATTAGATGTGGGGCATGAGCGAGAGGGAAAGATGAATCCTTTACCTCTGTCCAAGCAAAGAAAGATGGCCTGTCATCCAGAATGGACAAATTCATTAGGTACCCATAAGGACCTCCATCCCAAACTGCAGCCCCCTCAAAAAAAGACAAGACAGATTAGGGCTTTGGTGGTAAAGAAACAGGAGAAAAGGGGGAAGAGAACCAACTGGGGCTGAGGAAGTTTTCTGGAGAATTAAGAACAGCAGAAGTACCTGGGAAATTAGGTGATATGGATAGGAAAGAGGGATTTTAAGATGTAATTATGAAATACTGCTGTGGAGCACGGACGAATGCTAATGAAGAACTCGTGTGGGTGGTGGCCGCCCTGTGGCCAAGTGGTTAAGTTCGCGCGCTCTGCTTCGGCAGCCGGGGGTTTTGCTGGTTTGGATCCTGGGTGGGGACATGGCACCCCTCATCATGCCACGCTGAGGTGGCATCCCACATGCCACAACTAGAAGGACCCACAACTAAAAATACACAACTATGTATCAGGGGGTTTTGGGAGAGAAAGGAAAAATAAAATCTTAAAAAAAAAAAAACAAACAACTCGTGGGAATTTTTGTATGCTGAATTGTTTCTTGGAATGTAGCACCACGAAACTGTATTGGGTAGGATTTTTAAGGATTTATAAGGATTACAGTTATGAGCATCACCTAGAAGCTCCATTGGTGGTGTCACAAGATCACAGAACCTGAGGACTGTACACTTGAATCCCTTCTAGAACGTCTGACCCAGCAGTGTGGCACGGGCAGCTGTGAGGAATAAACTTCCTCACACTGGATTGACATCTATACCTCTCTGAAGAAGACACTAATTGGTTGGGGTTTTTTTTTTCCTGATTTTTTTCTCCCCAAATCCCCCCAGTACATAGTTGTATATTTTAGTTGTGTCCTTCTAGTTGTGGCATATGGGAAGCCGCCTCAGCATGGCCTGATGAGCGGTGCCATGTCTGCGCCCAGGACTTGAACCAGCGAAATCCTGGGCCGCCAAAGCAGAGCATGTGAACTTAACCACTCGGCCACGGGGCCGGACCCAGGCTTTGAGTGACTTAGTGAAGTGGGATGCACAGGTCAAATGACAGGGTGAATAATGGCCCCCAAAGATGTCTAAATCCTAAACCCTGGAATTTGTGAATATGTTACCTTTCATAGCAAAAGGGACTTTGCAGGTGAGCGTTACAGAGTTTGAGATAGGGAGATTAACTACCCTGGATTACTTGGCAGGCTCAAAGTAATCACAAGGGTATTACTAGGAGAGAGACAGAAGGGTCAAGGTCAGAGAAGGAGATGTGACAACAGAAGCAGAAGTCTGAGAGGTCTTTGAAGATGAAGGAAGGGGCCACAAGCCAAGGAATGTAGGCGGCCTCTAGAGGCCAGAAAAGGCAAGGAAAAGCATTATCCCCTAGAGCCTCCAGAAGGAAAGCGGCCCTGCCAACACCTTGATTTTAGCCCACTAAGACTGACTGTAGACTTCTGACCTCCACAATGGTAAGATAATAAATTGATGTTTTAAGCCATTAAATTTGTGGTAATTTGTTACAGCAGCAAAAAGAAACTAATACAAGCTCTTAGAGGAATCCAGGGCAGTGAAAATGTACTAAGCAGCGGCAGATTTCTCAGAATTCAAGAGGCAGGGTTAAGAAGGAAAATAGATGACTCTAAATTAAATATGCCTCTGTTTATCACAGAAGCTCTTTTGAAATAGAGTCAAACAATCCAAGTTGGCCATGCAAACCCCTGAGTAGCAGAGGCAAGTAAACTTTTTCAGGCAGCCAGGCATGAAAAAAGTACTTTCCTATTCTTTCAAATCCAATGCCATCTCATCCTCTACCCATTGAACCAAGAAGCTGAGATTTTGTTTTTGAGATGACAGCTTCGCTGCCCCCATCAGATAGTCACAAGGCTCATGAGACTGGACATGGTCCTTTTCTTCTCACACCCCACAAGGAGCCAAGAGCATCCACAGTAACCTCCTCAAGGGAGAAAGTCCAGCACTGTAGTAACTGTTTGTTTTATGAAGAGCACAGGAGTCCATAAGATTGGATTCTGGGGGGCTGGCCCCGTGGCCAAGTGGTTAAGTTCGCACGCTCCACTGCAGGGGGCCCAGTGTTTTGTTGGTTGAAATCCTGGGCGCGGACATGGCACTGCTCATCAAACCACGCTGAGGCAGCGTCCCACATGCCACAACTAGAAGGACCCACAACGAAGAATATACAACTATGTACCGGGGGGCCTTGGGGAGAAAAAGGAAAAAAATAAAATCTTTAAAAAAAAAAAAAAAGATTGGATTCTGGGTGCCTTGAGGATGGCTGGTGCCAACACCAACATGCCCACCTTCAGAGATGGCAAGTGAGATGGTGGTCAAGCAACCTCAGAGACACATCAGGTCTCATCAAGTTGTGTCCACAGCACATCCCTAGGAAGAAGTCATAGTTAGGAGAACTTGGCCACTGCTAGCTAAATCTCCTTGGGTGAGCTATGCAGCTAAGAGTTTCAATGTTCTCATCAGTGGGACTTCTGATCTAGTTTTGTTGCCAAGCCAATGACCCTGGATGAAGGAGGAGTGTATGTCCAAATTTGTGTCCAAAAATAATTCCTCTGCAGATTGTCCTAAGGAACAAGTGAGACAGAAGTACTTGGCAGTCACCATAGCAGCAATTGGTCCTGCTAAAATCTAAATCAGATGGTGTCAACTCTCTGCTCAAAATTCTCTAGTGCTTTCTGACCTCCCACAGAGTCAGACCCAAAGTCCTAGCAATGGTCATGAGGCCTGATGTGAGCTGCTCGCCCTCCCCACACCCTAACTTCTCCCATCTCCACTGCTCCCTCCACTCCAGCCACACTGATCTTCTTGGGATCCTCTAACCTGAAGATTGACAACCATTTTCTGTAAAGGGCCAGATAGTCAACATGTATTTTCAGCTCTGTGGGCCATACAGTCTTTGTTGTAATGACTCAATTCTGCAGTTGTAGAACGAAAACAGCCAATGTACACGAATGAGTGTTCCAATAAAATTGTTTACAAAAACAGGCAAGCGACCAGTCTGTGGACCCCTCCTCTAACTCATCAGTCACACGTCCGCTTCCAGTAGTCTGTACCTGCTGCTCCCAATATACATGTGGCACTCTCCTTCACGTCTTCACTCAGGTGTCACCATCTCAGAGCCCAGGCCAGGCACACTAACACAGCCGCCCTCCCCTGCTCTTTTTCTTTTGCCCTTAACATCTTCTAACATATATTTATGTTGGATATTGTCTGTCTCTCCCCAACCCCCATTGACTAGAATGTAAACTCTACAAGGGCAGAAATTTTTGTCTTTTTTGTTCACTGCTGCCTTGTATTCCCAGCTGCCTTGCACCTAGCAAGCACTCAATACATATTAACAGATTGGATAAATCAGGTTTAATACAAGATTCAAAAGTTAAGCCACTTCAAAAACTACCCCAAATTTACCCCAACATGGGACAAAAGTTCCCAGTATCTAGAAAGCCCCAGGTCACTGGATTATGTCATAATCAGTGATGTCATCATTGGGGAAGTTCTCAAGTTGCCCTCTGATTTAAGCCTTTCAGGCCTTGCAGCCAGTGGGATGGAGGGGCTTTCTGAGAGCACGAGGGCTCTTAATAGTGTGTGGGCTCCACAGACAGCAATCACAGGGGATGGGCCTGCCAAGAGAGTGCGTGAACAGGTGTCCCTGCAGACACAAATCCTCCAGACTGCCTCCCTAAAGGACGGCCCGGCAAAGCGAGCAGTGTGGGTTCGCTCTAACCATTCGGAGCCAGAAGAACCTACCAAATCAACAGTGGTCAAGGAGAAGCCCAAGCTAGGGGTGACCAAAGCAGTGGTTGTGGACCTTGGCACTGGCTACTGTAAATGTGGCTTTGCTGGGCTGCCAAAGCCCACCCACAATGTCTCATCGACAGTGGGCAAGCCCTACATGGAGACTGCCAAAACCGGGGACAATCGCAAGGAGACATACGTGGGGCAGGAGCTCATCAATCCAGGGGTTCGTCTCAAGCTAATTAATCCTCTGCGACATGGCATTATCGTGGACTGGGATACAGTGCAGGATATCTGGGAATATCTCTTCCATCAAGAGATGAAGATTGCCCCAGAGCAGCATGCAGTCTTGGTTTCAGACCCACCCCTGAGCCCACACACCAACAGAGAGAAGTATGCTGAAATGCTGTTTGAAACCTTCAGCACTCCTGCAATGCACATCGCCTACCAGTCCCGCCTATCCATGTACTCCTATGGAAGGACCTCCGGCCTGGTTGTGGAGGTTGGCCACGGTGTCTCCTACGTAGTCCCCATCTACGAGGGTTATCCTTTGCCCAGCATCACTGGACGGCTAGACTATGCGGGATCTGACATGACAGCCTACTTGATGGGCCTGATGAACAACTCGGGGAAATACTTCACTGAGGACCAGATGGGCATTGTGGAGGACATCAAGAAGAAATGCTGCTTTGTGGCCCTGGACCCCATTGAAGAGAAGAAAGTCCCAGCTACTGAGCATATGATCCAGTACACGCTGCCAGACGGGCAGGAGATACACCTGTGCCAGGAAAGGTTCCTCTGCTCAGAGATGTTCTTCAAGCCTTCTCTGATCAAGTCCATGCAGCTGGGACTCCACACCCAGACAGTGTCCTGCCTTAACAAGTGTGATATCGCCCTCAAACGAGACCTCATGGGGAACATCCTGCTCTGTGGGGGAAGCACTATGCTCAGAGGCTTCCCTAACCGTCTGCAGAAGGAGCTGAGCAGCATGTGTCCAAATGACACCCCCCAGGTAAACGTGTTGCCTGAAAGAGACACTGCAGTGTGGACGGGCGGGTCCATCCTGGCATCACTTCAGGGCTTCCAACCACTGTGGGTCCACCGCTCTGACTACGAGGAACACGGGCCTTTCTTCCTCCACAGAAGGTGCTTCTGAACTCTGATGAGGCATGGTCGCTGTGGTTGCCATGCATCAGCTATGCTGGGTGAGCACCCATCCTACATATAGGGAGCTGAGCCAGCACAGACACTCCTGTACTATTAAACGATCCTCATGTTCCCCTCCACAGTGTTTCTCTATTTCCTAACTTAATGAGAACAACTTCATATGTGCAGCAGCTGCCTTAAAATATACAACTGCCAAAACAAAAGGTGGGGTAGGGGTCGGCCCAGTGGCGCAGCGGTTAAGTGCTCAGGTTCCACTTCGGCGGCCTGGGGTTCACTGGTTTGGATCCCAGGTGCTGACATGGCACCGCTTGGCAAGCCATGTTGTGGGTAGGCGTCCCACATATAAAGTAGAGGAAGATGGGCATGGATGTTAGCTCGGGGCCAGTCTTCCTCAGAAAAAAAGAGGTGGATTGGCAGTAGTTAGCTCAGGGCTAATCTTCCTCAAAAAAAAAAAAAAAAAAAAAAAAAGTGAGGCAGGGACGAGTGTGGACGATGGATGAAAAAGACATGCATTACATATTGACTGCTTACACATTCTTGGGAGAATCTAGCTCTAAAATTATGTTGTCCCTTATTTTGTGTATTCCCCATTTTAGGAACTATTGTATTATTAAAATACGCTCAGGAAGAGGACTGTGACGCAGATAGATTACAGAGTAAATGCTGCTGGGGCATATTAAGAGGATCCCTTTCGATACACACCAAGTAGTATGCAGTGATGGTTTGATCTCCCACAAATCAGCAGAGTATTTTCATACTTCATCAGCAATTCTGAAGGCTTGGAAAGAGCTGACAAAGATGTCTGATTCCTGCTTTAACTGTACTTTCTTTTAGTTCCAACAGTCACTTATGTCTCAATACCAGTTCTTATCAAGCCATCACGGTGACTGGCTGCTGAAACCTGGTACATTATGAGAAGGTATGTGTATACGTCTTACAGGGGCAATTCTTCAGAGAACAAGTGCCAAATAGATTCCCCCTTTTTAAAAACAGGGGTCAGGGGCTGCCCCTAACCATAGTGGTTAAGTTCATGCACTCCACTTTGGCAGCCTGGGGTTTGCAGGTTTGAATCCTGGGTGTAGACCAACACACCAGTCATCAAGACATGCCGTGGCGGCATCCCACGTACAAAATGGAGGAAGACTGGCACAGATGTTAGCTCAGTGACAATCTTCCTCAAGCAAAAAGAGGAAGGTTGGCAACAGATGTTAGCTCAGGGCCAGTCTTCCTCACCAAAAAAACAGGTGCACAAAAATTGACAATAAAGGCATGGGAAAAGATTAAAAAAAATATATAGAGGTCAGAATTATCTTAGGTTATCAACACTGAGGTCATGAGGATGCAAGCCATGATCTTCTCCAGACACTTCAAGAAGCAGCTGCTCATCTCCCACCAGATTGGATTTTCCATCAGCCTGAAGCGTATACGGCTGGGGTATGGGATGGGCTCAGGATAGAGGCTGCTGGTTCTGGGGCTGATGGTGTGGGTCTGTGGGAGGCTGCCCCATGATGGTAATTCTAACCCAAATGAGGAGTCCAAGGGAACATACAGACCCTCATGGCCAGGGAGGCCCTTCCAGGGCACAGCATGTTCTGTGGTATTCCTGCGGGGGCAGTTTGTAATTGGCACATAGGTTTTTAGAACAGATCCCAGGACATTCTCTGCCGTCTCTAAAGCTCACATTTGAACAAGACCGGCAGGCAGCACAAAATAATGGAAAGAACATGGGCTCTGGATTCTGTGGTTTGAAACCTTAGTTTACCACCTAGCTGTGCGACCTGAGTCTGCTTACCTGTGAAATTGAATTCAAATACCTACCTCACACAGCTGATGTAAAAACCAGAGATAAACACTTCAATACCAGTGCCTGGCCTCCAGGAGGTGATCATAAGAGCTAGCTAGTATTATCTTGTAGACTTCTCTCCTTTATACAGGAGGCCAAAAGTCTTACTGTGGTCCCAAGCCACACGTACCCTCAAAGGCACACATTCAAGCACTCACAGGGGAGCTACAGCATCTCTACCGCCCCCAGGAGAAGCCCTACGGAGTCACCCTCACAGCCTCCAGGTTTGTCTAGATAGCCCTGAAAGACCTATATGCCTGACCCTGGATCCAGGCCTGGCACCAGCACGCTGGAGCAGGGAAGCAAAGATAATCACAAAGGGCATCTGGCATTCCTACAGTTCAGCAAGGATGACTAAGCTTTACCCTGGAGCATCAGGAATCAGCTGGGAGCTGGATACACTGACTCGAGGGAGAGGACTGTCTTGTTCCCCTCAGTTTCTGCACAAACCACTCTACCGTCAACACCCCACGAACATCACTGACAGGGGAGGCTGAAGTTTGGTTAGTTCTTAACCTTTGAACCTCTTTGGCAGAGTGGTAAAGCTTACAGACTCCTCCTCAGAACAACATTTTAAAATGCATAAAATAAAATATACAGGATTACAGAGGAAAGAAATCATACAGAAATACAGTATCTTCAGATCCTTCAAGGGTCTATGAACCCCAAGTCAAAAACCCCCAAAAAGGTGAGGGTCTTGACGAAGAGGAGGCATGGGAGGTGGTTCTGGAGGATGGGACTCTCCAGGCCATCCTAAGCCTACATGTTATACTGCATTTTAAAATGAAGAATGCAAATACAGGCTGAACAACTGCCTAGTCTTTAGTCTTTTTCAAAGCACTTTTATGAATTCTCTCACATGATCCTTATACAATTGCCCTTGTAGAAAAAGAGAATCCTCCTCACACACAAAAAAGATTAGTTTTATTAAGCATGTGGAAGTTATCTTAGCTCAGTGGTTCTCAATTGGGGGTAATTTTGACCCCCCGATGACATCTGACAATGTCTAAAGATATTTTTGGTTGTCATAACAGGAGCAGGGGGTAGGTAGTACTGGCATCTGGTGGGTAGAGGCCAGAGATGTTGCTAAACATCCTACAATGCACGGGACAGCCCCCACAACAAAAAATGATACACCCCCAAATGTCATTAGTATCAAGGTTGAGAAACGCAGCTTTAGCCCAATGGGGACACGAGGGTGGAGGAAAACAAGATTCATTGAGATTAAATGACTTTCTCCAAGGACATTAAGATGGATGGACCCACAGCCTAGTCCTTTCCTGAATATCAGGAGGACATCTGTTGGTCTTAAAGTTCCTGGGACTTCAGATCCAGTACGAGTAACGGTGGAGCGGCCTACTGTGGGCATGAGGCACAGGCAAGCTCACGGAGCACACAGAACCTCAGGAATCAAGAGCAGGCCTTCAGTGTCACCAAATGTCACCATATGAGCTTTGGCTTGTCTACAGCATCTTGGATATTTACGGTTATCAAGTTTTTCAGATTTCCATCCTCACCCCAGTTACTAATAAACATGACAGACAAGGAAGGACAACTAAACACTCCCAAGGGCTCGTCTAGGTGGTGCTTCTAGTGAGGCACAGAAGTTTACGGGCCAGCACAGGAAGAAAAAACTAATTTTGCTTCCTAAACTTGCAGTCACTTTAAATTACTAAGAATTGTCAATTTTATTTATTTTTAAAAACACCCTCTTCAGTTATGGCCATGGAAAATCTCTCAAATGTGTGCCTATGTGTATACACACACAAATATTATGTGTGTATATGGAGGTAGATATGTAAAATTTATTTTAAAATATGCGGCAGTGCTAAGAAATTACATCAAGCTATTCTTAGAAAGACATCATAAAAACATTAACTCCTGCCTCAGTTTTTTAAAAGGTAAATTTCAAATGTACTTGGATTGTAGCAGGCAGTCCTTTGCAAGTTTCCTTTTGACGTCTGGAGCATCGGAGCAAAGCTAAAACAATGGAACCAACAAAATAATTGAGGCTTTTAGCTTATTGCAGCACGAACTTTCCTTGGGACACAGTTCAAATTTTGGGAAAGAGTTACATACCCTTTTCTAGAACTTGCCAGACTCTTTCCCCCAAATGAAGCATTCATCACTCCCAGGAATTTCTCCTTTTCCCATACACTACATCTTTCCCCATGAATTCTTCCTTGACTCTGCCTTTAATTTGGAGGGTCTGCCCATGCTTACTTCTCCAAATGACCAAAATTCCACCTTGCTCAGGTGAGAGAGATAGTGACTGATAGTAATTTGTATCCACACAAATTCGTTCTCACTGCTTCAATACATTATTTTAAGGAAACTGAACATCCATGAAAAGTCGCACTTTTCTCAACAGACACATTTGCTTCTATTTCCAACCCATCCACGTCGATCCCTTTACTGTGCTCCACAGCAGGATCACTATAATATAGTAAGATGTCACAGAAGTTACCATGTTCATTTACCTACGCCAAAGAGGAGTCACGACGCACTTTTAGCATTTCAACATTGGGCACTTCATTATAGCAAATCCATGATGGGTATGAGTCAAAAAGCAGATTTCTCCAAAGCAGGATATATCATCTTCTTCTTCTTTTTTTCCTATTATTTTGTGAAAATTTCCAGACATACAGAAAAGTTGAATCATAAAGCGAACACACCCAGATTCTATAGTTAACATTTTTCTATGTTAGAGAAAGTTTCTTAAATCACAATTCTGGGTATTATCTATACTCCGATGATTAAAAGCAGCATTTCCTGTTAGTTTATGTACAATAACAAAGGTCTGATTCTTGTATTAAACACGTGGAACAGACCTTACCCAAGAATCAGCCACGAAACTGTTGTCAAAATGAACTGAACTTTTTCTAGACTTACCAAAAAGATAAAACATTCTCATTTCTTTCAAAGAAAATAACTGAAAGACAGAGGTACAGAGGTCAGTTAAGCATGATAAAGAAATGAAATAGCCTAGACGCTGACAAAATATTTTAGTTAAAAGTAGCAACACTTAGGGGCTGGCCCGGTGGCACAGTGGTTAAGTTCGCACGTTCCACTTCTCAGCTGCCCGGGGTTCACCGGTTCGAATCCCAGGTGTGGACATGGCACCGCTTGGCAAGCCATGCTGTGGTAGGCGTCCCACACATAAAGTAGAGGAAGGTGGGCATGGATGTTAGCTCAGGGCCAGTCTTCCTCAGCAAAAAGAGGAGGATTGGTGGCAGATGTTAGCTCAGGGCTAATCTTCCTCAAAAAAAGAAAAGA